TTATCTTCTGCATTTGTACATTTCTCTACACTTGTGCCCTCTTTTGGTACTTCGGGCATTCATATCGTTTAATACAACCTTAAAATGCTAATATTTTTTCCGGAGAATGAATAAGGGTATAATTGATGATATATTAACCGTGAAGACCATGAAATGACTCGAAACAAACCTAAATATGGCTCTAAATAACACCATTTTGGATGTTATCCATTAGTCACTCGACAACCACCATTGTAAATACCATGGTTAATAATGCTTTATTAACCATCATACTTTAAGTCTTTTGTTTATATATGATATGTTGATTAGCATTCAATCATTTTTATACGATGAGAATATTTTGAAAAATCAAGCTAAAATAGTTTATTATTATAAAGTTGAGACCAATTTAACCTATTAACTATTAACTAAGGTTTTCAACCCGCGGGTCGACCGACCCACTTTAACTCTGACCTGGTGAGAAAAACGAGTCGCACGCACCCACCGGGTTGACCGCTACAAGGTATCGTATTGGAGGTTAAATTGTGTTATTTTTTCTTTTGTTTGTGAAATGCGCCTATTTTCCGATTTTTCTTTTCGCCTAACTCAATCTTTGAAATTCTTAATTGAACATTTGAATATTGATGTCATATAAGTGCGTGCGAATTTTCACTATATACTGAATCTAAATACGACATGTTACTTTGGTGTAATTTTATATGTTATTACTCATAAGTTAGATGAAATTTAATATAATTTATCAATATAACTACGCGGGTTGACAACCTAATTAACCCTATATCCACCACAATTGACAGGCATGTTATATGATATGATCAGCTCCCGATCGGCTAAACTTTGGTCAGCTAGCGAGTTACTTTAGCGGAGCCGAATCCGACATACGTGGTGCCACGTCAGGCACTTTTCAGTCTATTGGCTCTCAACAAAGAGAAGCCATTACGTGCTACGTAGTACCCCATAGATGGGCCCAACATCTTTTGTTTCTTCATGACTAAGCTAAAAATTAAGCCGAATATTAGTGTGGGACCAAATCGTTCACCTATTTGCTTACGTCACCAGCGCGTCGTTTTAACTTTTAAACGCTCTAACCCCACTGGAGGACCACTATTTCTTTTATATTCTTTTTTCCATATTAGATAATCACTCTCTTCCGTATTACATATTGTGATGACAATTTCGAATTTGATCTATTTTACACAATATTACAACATATAATTTTACTTTAATTACTTAATATTTTATATCCTGTATTAGTGGAGGGTGTATCTATACACTCTTTGACTTTATTTATCTTAATTTTGATTTATTTTTATAAATTATACTAGATAGTACCCCGGCCCGTTGGCCGGCTACCATACGATAACAATAATTAACAAAACTTCAAATTTAAATTGTTTGGAAAATATAAAATTAGCATCCATCATAAACTTAATGTTGTCATTGGTGCCTTCTATGCACATTCTTGTTGGAATTAAAAAGATATGACTTATGTAAGGGTATATCAACCCATTATAAACTTAATGACACAATATTATATATATTTCAAAATGACAAATATCAGTACCTCTTTACAATAAAAAATATCCATCATCAACTTCACTATCTCCATTATCAACATGCATTTTTCACATTTTTTGTGAAGCAAATTCAAAAAATAAAACACAATCATATATGAAATATCATTTTCATGGCAAAACAGTTTATCTCATACTAATCACAAATGTTTGTTTACCTCATCCTAATCACAAATGTTGTTGGAGATTATTTTTTGCCATCATTTATAATCATCAAAACTATTAATTCGGTTATGAAATTTGTGATGTTATGATAAGTTAATCACTAAACTTAATATGAACTTCAACTACATTCTTTTTTTGGTAAATACTCCATTCCTTCATTTGATAATGCACCTTGAGTGAAATTCAATCATGAATATCAAATTTAGGCTATATCAAGGAATTTACCTTTTTTTTAAGTAGCTTTAATTAAAGAGAATAGTTTTTTCACCGGCAACGCTGACTAATCACTAATAAAGTAAGAATGTTTATGTAACTTGAGGTTTAGAGACAGAGAAGAATGAAGTGGCTCTGATGAACATAACATACATAGCTTAGCAAGAATCTTGTTGAATTGAGTAATGGTTCTTTTTCATAAAGTTGTCTTCAAAACATATTTTTCTATACTTAACTAAAGCTTAGAACTTTAGTAGAGCATGCAATTGAAAAATCAAAAGCTATACATGTAAGCTGGTATTGCCACGATGTACATAGATGATATGAATTTATTGAATTTTACGTTTTCATATGTTCTCTTGATGAACGTAAAGCTTAGAACTTTAGTAGATCATGCAATTGAAAAATCAAAAGCTATACATGTAAGCTGGTACTGCCACGATGTACATAGATGATATGAATTTATTGAATTTTACGTTTTCATATGTTCTCTTGATGAACGTTCATTTTGTCTTGTCTACAACACAATAGAACACTAATTATTAGCCAAACATTTCTCAAATTCTATTTTATAAGCCAAATTTATTGAATTGCTAATAATTAGTCAAATGTTATTTTCCAGTTAGCAAGTTTGTTAGTAATATTGATTTGGCAATATGATACTGGCTTGGAACTTGGAAGAGACACGTGGATGTCAAAATTCCAAAAAAAAATTAGTATCTTAACTAAGAAAAGAGTTACAAAATTAGTAGCAATAACGTAAAAATGACTAATATTTAATGCATTACAAAAAATTTAGCTAATTATTAGTAATTTAATATATTTGGCTAATAATTAGTATTAGACTTTGGTTTATTTAAATTTGTGGTTACTTGCTCCTGTTTGTCGCTTCCATGGAGTGTAATATAGGGTTATAATAATAATTACTTAATTAGAATACCTAGTGCTAGCTTGGAAGTTGGACGGAAGAAAACCTGGAAGGAAGGGGATTAGATTTTTAGTACAATTATAATTACTAATGCTTGGTATTAAATATACCCAAATCACGTAGTATACCCATTATACTAAAAGTCCAAAAGGCCCTGCCGAGGACTGCGCAGAATCAAGAAAAATTGAAATGAAGGGGTTCCGAAGGAGAACCTCCTTATAGTTATTGTGAGATGATCAAAACTCAAGCACTCTACAAATCAAATACGAGTATCAAAATAGTCGCCCGTCATAACTAAGTGAATGAGAACCAATTAAGGAGAAATTTTGTCTCCTTTGAAAAGTTGAAAACCCCAAAGTGCCCACTTACTTCTTAAAGCTAGCTCATGTAGCCATGTGAGTAGGGATGGCAATCAAACCCATGGCCGCGGGTACCCGACCGCCCCATACCCAGTCAACGCGGGGAATTCCCGCTTTGACCGGGTATGGGTAAAACCCGCAAAAGGTTTGATGGGTATGGGGCGGGTATGGTTTTAGCCTCCCCCGCCCCATACCCATACCCATACCCGCCCCACCAAGAGAATTTCTTCACATATCAAAAAATACGTGGATTAAATTGTAATCTATCAATGATGATGATGATAACTCGAGAAAATAAATAGTAGAAATGCAATTGAGTAACCACCTTAATCAAAACCTAATTCATTTCCCTCAATTCTCCTTCCACTCTTTCACTTTCCCCCTTGTCAACAAAATTATGTTAGTTAATTATTACTTAGTAAATGTATCAAGAGTTAGAGCATAATAATTTAAAAAATATTATAGTCTATATTATGTATTAATGGATGTTTTAGGATCATATTCTTTGAATCGTATTTAGAAAATGACCGTGTTTTGTTGACTTCGTGATACAATAGGTTTGTTTATGGTTATAATTAAAACTTTTCTTGTAAGTTTTAGGTATAATAATGTTGGATGTACGGGGATGGGTATTACCCATGGGTACCCGAAACCCACGGGTATGGGGATGGGTTTGCAAAACATTCCCCCGCATGGGTATGGGGCGGGTATGGGTTTGGGTATTTGAAGTTGGGGATGGGGATGGTTTAGGCAAACCCGCCCCAAACCCGCCCCATTGCCATCCCTACATGTGAGTATTCTTTTATTAATTCTGAAATTTACTTTTTTTTTCGTGCTTAATAAGCTAGGTGACATGACCCTTTTTTAATTGGGGCCTAAAAGCATCAACTTAGGCCGCGTTTAGTTTTTGGATAGCTTGGTTGTGATATTTACAATGCATGTATTGTCTACAATATATTGTTTTTTTACACAAATAATATATAAATTGTTTGTTTGATGTGACAGCAACTATCACTCAAAATTAGTGATAGTTAAATCTCATGTTTTTTTGTAAGATTGTTGGGATTGTTTCATTGTGATTGTTGGGTTTTTTTTCTTTCCTCCAACTATGTCCCTAGTTTTTATATGTGTGTTGCTTTATTATATTAAAATCGAAGGGTAAAAATGACATTTCACCCAAAAAGTATTATAACTTATTTAAATACTACAATAACTATCGTAGAAATCAAATGATGTAAACTACAATACATCAATATTCTTACGTATATGTATATTATTCTACAGGCAGACAATCCATCAATTTAACTATCACTAAAATCAAACCGCCCTAAATGTCCAGATTGCCCCTGACCGCAAGACTAATGATGAAGCTGACGAAAAAGGGTGCTTGATCCCGCGATTGATTGCTAATTTGGTAATTTCATTTCCTGTTCAAATCCTAAAGTTGGCTTCTCCAGTTTTGAGTTTTCCCCTCTGCCCGACCCCACCCAACAGTAGGAGGACTCAACTTTATCGCCAATAAATATGAGCCTTGTTCAATGCATTTCTTCCCTTTTCCCCTCCTTCCTTCCCCCACTCTCTATTAGGCGAAATTCTGCCCCCCTTTTTTTCCCCCCTTTCTCCGCCGTCATGCTGTCCACAATTCCGGCCACGCTCCCTTCCCCTGCCTCCTCGTTGCTCGAGAACTCCGCCGCGGAGGAGTTCTCGAGCTTCGACTACGACTTCCCTCCATGGGACGCGGAGGACTATTGTTCCCCGGAGATGTTGATCTTTCCCGACGATGACGTCATCATGCCACTTGGCTCCCCCGATTCCGGACCCGCCGGTTCGGAGCCCGAGGAAAAACCGAACCTCCTCGTGTTCCCGGACCAGGACCCCGCGGACTCGAACACCACCTCAGCCGTGGCGGGGCCCGCTTCGATCGACGACGAGCGGAGGCGGAGGAGGATGATATCGAACCGGGAATCGGCGCGGAGGTCGAGGATGAGAAAACAGAGGCACCTAGAAAACCTAAGGAACCAGGCGAACCGGCTCAGGGCCGAGAACCGCGAACTGAGCACCCGGCTGCGGTTCGTCTCGTACCACTCGAACCGGGTGCGGACCGACAACGAGCGGCTCCGGTCGGAACACACCATGCTCCGACACAAGCTCTCGAACATTCGCCAGATCCTCACTTTCCGCCAGCTCACCAACCAGTTCGCCGTCGCCACCTCCGCATGGCCGTGCAATAACATTGTCCACCCTACCGCCGCCGCCGCCGCCGCCGAACAATTCCCCTCATTAATCGCCTCATGATATTCCTTAATCAAACCTCTCAATATATATAGATATATACATACACATATATATCTCTCCCTCAGCAAGTAGGAAGAAAAAACAAAAACAAAAAAAATGGATGGATGGATCTGTCGCAGCTCACCGTAATTCAGTACTCCAAATAAGAACAGCAGACGGAGAAGCGCTCTCTCTCTCTCTCTCTCTCTTTTTCTCTCTTTTGTGATGATTAGGAGCTTTTTGTTTGGCTTTGTGTAAATGAAGGGGCTGGGGTTTTTTTTCTTCTTCTTCTTCTTTCTTCTTTTTTTGGTCCGGAGAGATCCAAGTTTAGTGCGATCATCGAAAGGCATATTGGGGTAGTGGTCTTGAAATCAAATCAGGTTTCAGTGTCGTGGTGGGTGTGCAAAAAGCTATTGTCATTATATTAAATATATATGTTGAGTGTTCGGTTTTCCTTCTCTTTTCACCTTTTTTTTTCCTTCCCTACCTTCTTTTCTTTTCTTGAGGTTTCTGTTGTTTTCCCCGATTCCACTATGTTAATTTTAAGAAAATGGTGAGCAGAGGTCACGAAGCTAATAATTATATCAACCCATAATTATTAGATAATGGATAATGATGGGTCGTATCAACCACCACTAATCACCGCGGGCCATACGATAAACCAAACTTATTATGCATACTAATTGCAATTTGTGTCGTCCGTGTGTGATCAACCCACTGAGCGGATGCGCTTAATTCCAAATCTTGTTGATATTATTATAGATGGAGGTGGGTGTGTTACTTTTAATTCCGCAATTGAAAGTGGCCGTGCATGCTCACCACTACAGCCTAAATATGAATTTCATATGTCCTTTTCTTTTGTCGGACAGTTCTCGGATACTTTGATTATTCCCGATATATAAAATGTTGGGATTGGAAAATGACGTGGGGTTAAAAGTCTTCAATGCCCCTTTCACCCCATGATTCATTGATTGCTTTGCGAGGGGGCGGTAGCTTGGCCGATAAAGTTAGTTTAGCACATGATTAAATTATTAATATTAAGCATACAACCAAAGGTTCCAGTGCAACGCCCTTTAAATTTAATGGTAAGTTTTGTCGAGGCCATTTTTTTTTGTCACAATTTGAATTTCAGTATCATGTTTTTTATTTTTATCAGAGCGATTTCCTCTCGACTTTTTGGCACTCACTTTTCTCAATTAGGCAGGATCACATCTCTACATTAGATGAGATGATCATCGCGATTCAAGGAAGTATTGTCTCCGTTGAATTCTCTTTCTGATTTGCTCTGAGGTATAACGTGCGACATCACTCTAGAGTACCAAGCCTAGATTCTTCTTGTCATAAACCAGTTGATCCCAATAACTCTGAGTTGTTGGGAGAAGGTTATGCTGGATCTTATACAGGCCCGTGTATGGGTGCTTAACCACTTCCTTACACGCCCCCTCAAACGAAAGCCGACTCATGGGCTTGAAGTTTGCACAGGCCCGCCATACCATGTGCTTGAAAGACAACGGTTAATATTGGGGGTCGTGAGGACTTGAACACGTGACCTCACGGACAACCAGCTCTGATACCATGTCAAAAACCAGTTGATCCCAATAACTCGAGTTGTTGGGAGAAGGTTACGCTGGTTCTTATACAGGCCCGTGTATGGTGCTTAACCACTTCCTTACACTTCTAACAAATAATATAATGCCAAGTGCAAATGGAACTACAGCTTAATGGCCATGCAATACTAAACACATACTATGTTGGTTCAAACCTTCACCTAATTAGGTATGCACTCTCATAAGCCAAAAACATTAACATTCAAATACTAGATCAAGGTAAGAGAATGACATAATCAAACATCAACTAATCATAGATAGCACCACATCCGCAGCCGCGCTAAGTCGCATACGCCGTCGCAAGATGTTCGACCGAGGGACGGATCGCCTTGAGGTCACTCTTTAGGGCTTGGAGATGATCAACAAGCTTCACGAGACGTTTGAGCAACAACGATGAAGGGATAGAGTTCTACCGTAAGCGAAGCAAATATACCATTGAGAAGAAGCTTGTTATGTCGGAACCAGTGCATGTAGGTCGGGTTCCGAGTGGAGGAGCCATTGACAAAAGTGGTCTCGGATGGTGCGGGAATGGAGGCGTCAAGGTAGCCAAACAGGTCGAGGCCATAGAGGAGGGAGAACAATTGCGCACGCTAGGAGGGAAATTTGGTGGCGATGAGTTTGAGGGGAAGTGAGAAAACATGATTGAACGTGACCAGCTGCCGATCGGTCGCGGAAAAGGTTCCAGCAATGATGGTCGAGGTAGCATCAGAGTTGGTGGACATAGTGACAGGAATTGATGAAGACAAAAAACTTAGGTTTTGGACCTTGGCTATGATACCATGTAAGGGATTTCAACCGTATGTATTTCATTATGTAATGAGGTATATATACACAAGTACATAGACATAATACAAGAGGGAGAAGGAGACTACAAGATACAATAATACAAGTCCTAGACAAACTAGGATTTCTCCCTAATATTAAGTACATTGAATTCTATTACTCTAAAACTTTAACTGTAAATTCGGAGTTTGCATTTTCAAACTACATCGCTCAACTCTAACGTCATCTTCTTCCCGGCCATGCAGCATTGGAGGCAGTAACGATGACATCGTCGACACTGGGCTTTGCCATCTTAAATGCGAGAAAATGAAGATGTGTACTTGTATGTTCAGAACTTGCGTTTGCATGCAACGCTAAAAGCCTCGGTGGGCACCTCTTCGATCACTCAGCACCGAGAAACTAATCGTTTGAAAAATGTAGCTTAGTTTGATGATATTTAAACTCTGTTATTTAGGGGTGAAACTGGGTCAAACCCAACCCTGACCCTGCCACTACAAAAAAAACCCAGCCCTGCATGCTCAAATATTTGGCCCGACCCGGCCCGACCCTATTTTCGTTTGGCCCTGTATGACCCTGTTGGGTCGGGTCGGGCCATAGGGTCGGCCCAACTTTTTTTTATACAAAATTACCCACTTAATTATTTAATATCAAATTAAATTTCAAAAAATTGAAGGTATATACTAGAAAATTTAAATGAGTTCGTGAAAAAAAATCTAAATTAAAAAAATTATTTAAACTAATTCAAAAAATAAATGTTTGATGAAAAAAAATTCAACTAATTCCAGAAAATTTAAGTTAGTCCAAATTCTTATACAAAAAATTCTAATTAATTCGAAAAACTCAAAATTAATTCCAAAAAATTAAAATTACATATAAAAAGTCTAAATTACCTTACGATAAATCCAAATCAAATAAACGAAATGCAAATTACATCTAAAAATTCAAAATTACCTTACAATAAATCCAAATCATATAAACAAAATGCAAATCAAATAAATCCAGCTAAGTCACTAGAACTGAACAGAAGAAGGACAATGCGGAATCCCTTCTAATTTCAAAGCAAGCAAAGCCTAATTTGGTAATATCCTAATTTTTCATCAACAAAGAAGAAAATTGAACCCAGCGCAGGCTTTCCCAAAAGCTTGACCCGACCTTTCAGATGTCCAAAGAACTTCGGCGCCGTTATGTCCAGCACGCGCGATAGAGGGAGAGGAAATCGGCAGCTGTTCGTCGTCGCCGCCACTGTCAACTGGCTTCTCGGTGTTTCACCGGTGGCCCGCGTTGGAGAAGAGCCTTAGTGAAAAAATCTCCCGTGGATGTGAAAAAATCCGGCGTCGGGGAGACGACGAGAAGCAAGAACGAGGAAGGGAAGATGTTGTGGCGGGGAACAGGGGAGGGCGGCGGCGAGAGGGGGAACCCGAGTGCTGGACCGGCGCAGAGGATGAAGGAGATGCGACGGCAGGTGCTGGCGGGCGGCGGCGGGGGTCGACGATGGGGAAGCGATGACGGTGGTGAAGAAATCGACGAACCTGAAGGAAGGATTTTAAGAGGTCGATGATGGAGATGATAGCGAAAAATGCCGGCAATCGCCACTATTGCGAGGAAAGAAGAGATGGAGCCGAAATGGGTTGGGTAATTAGGGACTTAGGGTTAAAATGGGTCAAAATGGGCCTGAATGGGTTTTAAGGGTAATACCCAAAAATACCCTACCCTCTAGGGTCAGAATGTGACCCGGCCCTATTTTGGCCCTAAAGACTAATTGACCCTACCCGACCCACAGGGTTGGGCCGGGCTGATGGGTAGTAAGGGCCACAGTTACAGCCCTGCTGTTATTTAGTTTCTTGATTACATATTCGTAATAATACATAGAATGTATTCATCTAGTACCAGCTCTCTAGCTAGTAATATCTCGTTCAATAAAGAGATTTCCTAATTAGTAGTTCACAGTCTGACATGACGCAATTTAACATCAATCCACCAGAAGATAATCCAATCGCAGTGAATGTGAGATTGATGTGGATGGATTGAAGATTGATAAATGTTCTACCTGCAGTTATTTGGCTGGATGGAGGGTGGTTTCCGGGTAATGACCGGCCCGCACCGTATTCCACATGACAAAAAGTTATTTCTTATACTATCAAATAGTTATCATATTTTCTAACTGCACTACTAGATTGATTATTATGTTTTGTAATGTCCATTAGATATAATGCTGACAATTATAAACTACGAAAGCTAAATTCAGAAACTGTAGCATAACATAGCATTTGTTATAGTGATCGGCTACATGAAAAATATATTCTTCGAAATGGAACGAGTATCCAGATTCTAATGGATTAACTGACCAGACATATCTATTGAGAGGGGCGTTGATTAATTCAACACTAGCAAGAACATTGACATGCTTAAAATTTCGTAAATGGTGGTGATAAATGGATTGTATTCGTGGGATTCTTGGATTCTCAAATTTGTATGTATCCTGAATTGGACTATTCTGGAAATTTTAAAAATTTATGTACAAGAATGTCATTCTAATAAAATAGGTACCAAAACACAATTTTTGAAAAGTGTGTTCTAATGTTAGATATTAAAGTTTATGTATGAAATTATAAAATATAAATATATAGGTAC